GTGAGAATTTAACGGCTATTCTCGACCGTAAGAAGGTGTGTTTGAAGAACACAAAAGAGGATTCTACACAACGGCTAGAATATAAAAATGAAGAACAAAACTTAGCCGGTGTAGAAAGAAAGTATACTCTCTCAAAAATACAATTCAAACTTATGAATATGAGAGTATATAACTAGAAACACAAGCTCAAAGCGTGTGTATAAAAATCAGGAATTTAAGGCTCTTAAAATAGCCAAAATATTGAAAATAATTAATAGAAGGATGAACACACTTGGAATAAAAAGAGAGGATGTTTAGAGCTTTTTTTCTTGTTGAAATATGAAGTATTAGGCCTATATTTATAGTGGAAGATGTTAATTAGCCGTTAGGAGGTGATTAGAGTTGAATTAATTCAAAAATCAGCAATCAGGAATAGTGTTCCAACGATAACGGTACCCTGTCACGGTAGCTAGGTCCCGTACGGTAGCTAGGTACCTTCTCACGCCAAAACTCTCTGGCGGTACCTATACACGGTACCTATACACGGTATGGGGGTCCCGTCCATACGGTAGGGGGTTCCCGTGCTACGGTAGGGGGGTCCCGTCTCAGGCTAACTCACGGTACCTTTACGGTACCCCTCACGGTACCTAGGTACCTTATGACCATTTTGACAATTTTTTCATTTTTGTCCAAATCATTTCCAATTTTGTTTAAAACCTTTTGGATGTTTGAAAATGATTATAAAAGGGTTTTAAACATATTTTGTGAGTGTTTTTGAGCTTGTGAATATAGGTATATAAAATCATATCCTTACATCGGTTTCTACCTAAATTCTACGCTAGTTTAGTATTTCGACTTCATTCTTGAGAACCGAATCTTAATGGATTCTTGTTGTACCTGAAACACTTAAACAAACGTCAAGCTCTTATATTGTTTGTTAACATCAAAACACGAGGCTTAGCAAACCAAGGCTAACAGAGCCATCGCCATAGTTGACACCAAAAGCCCGATCTCCACTGCCGCCGTGAGGAGGGCCGCGGCTGCCACCGCCACCGTGCTGGTTGCCGCTGAAACTGCGGGCGTCCCAACCTGCCAGCAGTGCCGTGCTGCTGGTTCCGCCCAGTGGAGTCCCCTGCCGGTCGAGAAGGAGAAGAGCCGAACGCACTTGGAGAAAACTCGGCAAAGGATCCTGAAATTGGAGAAACGAAGTTTGGGCTTGTAGATCGTCGGGCAGGCCGCGCAACATCTAGAGTATTAGTTGGTGCTTAGACACGGGGGCATCAACGTCATCTAACCAATCTGTAATTGTAACACCCCAACCCGCGTGACCCGAATACAAGGACTAGCGGATCGGGTTGTCACTAAATTGGCCTTCATACGCAATAATTTCCAAAACAATTTAAAAACATTTAATTCAAAAAAATATTTAATTATCCATCAGAGTAAATCAAAACGGTGCGGAAGCCTTTAAGTACTTAATCAAAATACAACTTTGTGTTCTTGCCCTTAAAAACATAATAATTCAAACTTAAATAATAAATCATATAACTCCTCCAGCCAGCATCCATCCATCTCTTCGCCCTCGCTGCCTCTAAGACCGTCTCATTATTTATCGTTCCTGTTACCTACGTGTAGCAAATAGGAAAAAGGGCTACACGCTCAGCATTGAAGCTGGGTGGAATCTATCTAACGTTCGACTACGCACATAGACGAACCCACTAGTCCATATCCTCATACGATATCATGCACACAACATGCTCAACATATTCAAGCCACATACACAATGTAAAAGTTGTAATAAACATCATCATTAAAGAATTACAAATCACAAGGATACAATTGTAACTTCTCCATTATCCTCTACCCTACGTTCTTTCGGTGCTCGGCTCTTAACCTAGGCTAGGTAAAAGCTTAACTGTATACTACTTGCCTATGGAGTCATGACCCTCCCCTTCGGAATGAAGGTCAAGCTCAACCAACTCGGGAGTTCCTCGTTGGGTGGGTGAGATCCCTGTCCCCTTCGGAACGACAGTTCTTAGATCCCCGTGTACACGTTTTTACCCGGACAGCCATTAAACCCAGCAGGTACCACATGACTCTAACTTACGAACTTATGCCAGGTCTTGCCATTATTTCCCTTCAGGTCAGATCCTAGGTTTGTTCTAGGTATTTCATGCTTCAATTGTCATTAGTTTTTAGCATACATGTTCATACATCTTACACATATTTCATCACATCCAATACACTCAATTAGCAGCCTAACACTGGATAATGCTACCCACGTTTACCGTCATGCAACACACAAGGCATAGGGAACAATCCAGAAGTTGAAACAGAACAAACAAACGAAGAATTAATCGAACAGTCTGCCGGTCCGGTACCCCTTACGGTACCTCAATACCGCTTAGCGATACCGTGCTACCGCCACTGAAGGTTGCCACTGCCGGTACTTGCGCCCGCACGGTACGGGGGTACCGGACCAACGGTACCAAGGTACCGCCTGGCGGTTTTCAAAATCATACTTGAGATAAGCATAATCAAGCATAGTAAGCACAATTAAGAGCAATGTTTAAACCAATCAAGCAATGTTTAAACAAGAAGGTGTTTTCATCAAAACAAATTAGTGTTTTCACATACTTTCCCCCTGGTTTGATGAAAAGAACCTTCAGTTTCTCTTGTGCTTAGAAGATCCGGCAACCTCACTGATGCCCTGCATGTTCCCACACAGTTCTTTGATGCGCCTTAAATTTTCACGTCTTTCCTCTGATTGAGCATCATTTGAGAAGTGGTCAACAACTGTACCTATAAATTCTGTTCCATCCAGACTTGAGCTGGATAGATGCTGTGCTGAGTTTTCTGGATTTCTTTGCTGTGCTTCAAGGATTAGATTTGTCATGTTCAGATGAGAAGGAATATAAGAGACTTCTCCTTCTTTGACTGCAATAGGGAGCTGTGGTATTGGAGATGGACTCTGTTGCTGAAGAATCACTTCCATCTTGCGGTTTCCAAAATTTGCGCCAAGAAGTCTGAACAGTTTGAATGCTTCCTTTTGATTGTCAATGATCACCTTTAAGTAGTCTTTGGTCACTACCTGATTTGCTGAAGCTACTGCTAATGCTGATCTGATGTCCATTTGGAGAAGGGACATCTGTTTTTGTAGACCAACTGTGACACTCGCTATTTGCTCTTTGACTTTGTTGAACTCTTTGAATTGAAGTTGACTGTCAGAGGCATATATTTCAATCGTGTTGCTCACAATTTTACTCAATAGAGAGATGATCTCTAGAGTCTTTTCTACTGATTTACCTATTTCCTTGAGATCTGTGTTGTGTTTCTCTTCAGATTTCTCAAGCAGCTTGTTGTACCTAGCTTCCATTTGCTCTATCTCTTGCCTAAAGGAGGCATGTTGAGATGCTAGGGCTGATTCAATCAGCCCTTGGACCTTCTTTGTCTAGATTTCCGGTATCTCATCCAGAAGGGTAGGGGTGGAAGAGCTATGGAAATGAAAATTGGTTACCTGATGAGAGGTACCACAAGAAACCTTCTCAACGTATCCTTCTCTAAGTCGTAGAAGAACATGTAGAAGAAGTAGTCATTGGAAGTCACAAGAAAGTCTGAGAGGAAGACGAAGTAGTTCGCGTTTTAAACTATATAGGGATCTCTCCCTCAGAGATTCTTCAGCTGCATTCTGTTCTTCAAAAATGGCTACTGGAGTTTGAGAGACCTCCACTTCTGCCATTTGAGTTTCCTTCTCAGCTTCTCCAGAATTCCTTTGCGCTTCTACAGCTTGCTACATTGTTTCTGGAAGAACTGACTGTTCCGGATTTTCTGCTGACTTCTCCGGGATGTCAAGTTCTGGCTGGTTGGAGATCTCACGTGCAGTTGTGAGAATCTCAAGGACATGAGATTGAATTTGTTGCTGAAATTCTCCTTCTTCTGCTGTTTTCTGGTTCTGTTTTTGTAGGGGAGAGATACAAAGTCTAGAGGGGGGAGAGGCTGCCTTCTCTTGAACAGCTTCAGTTAGAACCATTTCAGAAGCATGTGAGGTTTCCGGAAAGATTTGGAAATCCTCAGTTGTTGCTTCCAAGTCAGCCTGTGCTTCATAAGTGAGAATCACTTGATCTTCTGTGACCTTTGAAAAGATTGGCTTGTAAACTGCAGTGTCTTCATCATCTGCTTCAGGGTCTGAAACTGGTGTGGTGGCCAAGTGTTCCAGATGCAGATCTTCATTGTTCCTTTGCCATACCCAGTAGTCATTCAAGATGTCTTCACAGCCTTGGTTGACTGGTAGTCCTAGGCATTTCTTGATAATCTTCTCACTCTTCAGTTGTTGGTCCCAATCCAACAGTTGCTCTGCTGAATTTCCAACTTTCCAAGCTCTCCAATTATAATAGAGCTGCCAGAATTTGTTTTCAGCATCATCTGTTTGAGGCTGAGATGAGGCTAGAAGGCTTTGAGCTTGAGGAGTTTCTTCTTCAAGTTGTTGAGGACTTTGGTTTTGGGCAGAGGTTTCCTCAGCAGGTTCCTTCTCCTTCAACTCATCCGGATTGACATTTCCAGATGTTGATGGAGAGTTGATCTTCCTCTTCTTCTTCCTTTGAAGTTCTCCATGGTCAGAGACTTCTTCTTCTTCTTCCAAATTGATCAAGGGAAGATTCTGTGGTGCTTCAACACTTGGAGAGGGAGACACCACATGCTTCCTTTTGGCAGTCTTTGCCAAATTGATGAGTGGAACATTGTCTGATGAGCTTTCTTCTGCAGTGGCACTAGCACCAGCTCTGTTTTCTCCTTTGGAAGATAAGTAGTATAGCTAGTATCTGGTTTCATACTTCTTTCCTTTAGATGCAGCGCCCATAGACTCCAAAATATGTCCAATATACAGACCTTGACAAAGATATTTCTGGTTGTGCTTTCCTAGATGTTTTGAAATGGATTTGAAGAAGTGTGCAGCCAGTTTACCTTTGATTTGGTAATTAGAGCGTTGATGATGAAGGCTCTTTCCTGGGTGATGTCATCAGCATGACCTCCACTTCCACACTCGAGACATGCAATGACTAGTTCCAGAACAAGTTTGTAGTCGTTGTTCAGATCTACTTTCTTCGCTGGGCCAGAAGGAACTTGTCCAGAAATTCCAATAACATTCCAGTCCAGATTTTTGACTGGAAATCTCCCAATTTCAACTCCAGAATTGGGAAGGTGAAGCTTTTCTCCCAATTTCTTCTACAAAAGCTTCACTTTGGTACCTCCAACAGTGGACTTGATGACAGGAAACGTCCTCTGTGGGTCCTTCTTTGAATGAGCAGTCTTGACCTCTCCATTTCTATAGAATTCAAGAACTTCTTCAAATTTGAGGCGAATCTCCATTTGAAGAAATTTGGAGAGTTCTTGAGCAGCTATCATCTCCAGATAGCTTTGATAGAACGCCGGTGAAGAGCATTTGGCTTCCAACGTCTGGAAATGGACATTAGCTCCAACAATCTTCATTTTCTCAGAAATTCGAGTGAAGAAATCTGAAGAATCTAAAGAAATTTTAGGGTTTTTGAGAGAATTTAGATTTCTCACAAAGAAGACGACAGAACAGAGATTTGAATAGTGGCGATTGGGTTTAATTTGGGCGATTTATGCGGCTGGTGTCGATTGAGTTTTTGACTATTCCCAAGTCCACGTGCCTACCCAATATTTTGACAGACGTGGAAAGTGGTCTGCCACGTGTACCGCACTCAGTCTAATTGAATTAGACCAATTTTGTGAAGCAAATCGGAAAACTTGGCTTCACTTAGTGGTTTTGTAAAGATATCCGCCAGTTGTTCTTCAGTTGAGATATACTCAATTTTGATATCTTTCTTTTCCACATGATCTCTGATGAAGTGATGCTTGACATCAATGTGCTTAGTGCGAGAATGACGCACTGGATTTTGAGAGATGGCTATAGCACTTTGATTGTCACAAAAGATTGTCACTTCCTTTGTCTTGACTCCATAGTCCAGTAGTTGTTGCTTCAGCCACAAAATCTAAGCACAACAACTACCAGCAGCAATGTACTCTGCTTCAGCTGTTGATGTAGAAATGGAGTTTTGTTTCTTACTGAACCAAGAAACGAGATTTCCACCAATGAATTGACAAGTACCGGATGTACTTTTCCGGTCTACTTTGCATCCGGCAAAGTCAGAATCTGAGTATCCCACTAACTCAAATGAATTGCTCTTAGTATACCACAAACCCATGTTCTAAGTTCCTTTGAGGTATCTAAGAATTCTTTTAGCTGCTATCAGATGACTTTCCTTTGGCTTTGACTGGAATCTGGCACAAACACCTACTGCATATGAGATATCCGGACGGCTTGCAGTAAGGTAGAGTAGAGATCTGACAATTCCTCTGTAGAGAGTTTGATCAACATCATTTCCATCTACATCCATATCAAGCTTGGTGGATGTACTCATGGGGACAGAAACGGATGACTTCTGATCAACGTTGAATTTCTTGATAAGATCCCTTGTGTACTTGGCTTGGTTGATGAGAGTGCCTTCACTTCTCTATTTGATTTGAAGGCCAAGGAAGTAGTTGAGTTCCCCCATCATGCTCATCTCAAATTTTCCTTGCATGATGGTTGAGAACTTGGTGCATAGGTCTTCCTTAGTTGAGCCAAATATGATGTCGTCCACATAGATTTGGACCAATAGGAGATCTTCTCCATCTTGTAGTTTGAACAATGTCTTGTCAATAACTCCTTTGGTAAATCCATTGTCTATAAGAAATTGAGACAATGTATCATACCAAGCTCTTGGTGCTTGTTTGAGTCCATACAGCGCCTTTTTGAGTCTATACACTTGATCTCCCTTAGTGTGTAACTCAAATCCTGGAGGTTGTTCCACATAAACTTCTTCCTCTAGGTTTCCGTTGAGAAAAGCGCTTTTGACGTCCATTTGATAGACTTTGAAATCCTTATGAGCTGCAAATGCTAGAAACAGCCTTATAGCTTCAAGTCTAGCAACTGGAGCGAAGGTTTCATCAAAATTTATACCTTCTTCTTGACAATATCCTTTTGCAACTAACCGGGCCTTGTTTCTGACAACAACGCCATTTTCATCCATCTTGTTCCGGAAGACCAACTTTGTCCCATGTTAGAATAATAGACCAACGCTAGAGGGGGGGTGAATAGCGTTTGATCGGAGAAATCGCAGGAATTAAAAAATTAAAAGAAAAGTAAAGAGAAGAGTAAGAGGCACACCGAATTTTACCCTAGTTCACCACAACTTGTGGCATTAGGTCGGAGGGCTCTCTGAGAGAGCTCGATGTGATGATAGAGCAATTCGAATGCCCACGAATTGTTTGGCAATGTTGAACTCTCAAGCTCAGTGTGCTTGGAGTTGCTTAGGAAGTTTCCTTTGTCTGGAAGGAAACTTAGTTGGCTCTCTCTATGATAGAGAGTTGCACAGATTCTACACAAGTACACTCAAGAATGAGACTCTCTTATAGAGTAGATTATGAGTAAACTAAGTACGCTCAAGAACAACTCAACCTTCACACAAAAAATGGCTCTAGAAAACTATGGAAAATGATGATATTTGAATGCAATGAAAGTATAGATGTTGTGAAGTGAATTGGTGAGAAAAGCAGACCCAAACACCCCTTTTTATAGTGCAAAATTAGGCTCCAACGGACCAATGCATTAAAGGGGTGATTAGCTTGATTTATGGGATTGATTAAATTTGGGATCTGCAGAATATTGGCTTCCCATCGATGTTTAGGACTTACCCATCGCTGGTAAGCCAATTTTCCTTCAGATTTGAAGTCAACGGTCACCTACCCATCGATGGGTACAAGCTTCCCATCGCTGGGTGGGAGGTTGACTTCCAAACAAGGAAAGAATCAACCTTTAATGACCACCAACGGTCATGCCTTCCCATCGATGGTATATCCTTACCATCGCTGGGTTCCCATCGATGGGATAGGTTTCCCATCGTTGGGCAAGGTCGTTCTGCCTTGTGTTAATATTGCACCAAGGCTTTAACAGCGATGGGTAGAACTCCCCATCGCTGTTTGGCATGGTTCTGGAAACTGGTTTGGCTGAGGGGCCGCTTACCCATCGATGGGAAAATCTTCCCATCGCTGGGTGGGTGGTTAGTCAAGAACCCATGATTTTTGCCTTAACCACGGCCTAGCCAACTGATGCGAAACCCGACCGAAAAATTCAAAGTTCTCCAAAATAAAAAACCAAGTGTTTAAAACACTTATTTGATGTATTTGGCTAAGAAATCAAGTAAGACTCTTTAAAAAGCACGTCATTTGAGTGAAAACCACGGCTAGCCAAGTTTATGCCGTTTTTGAATGATTTTTGTCAAACGACCAAAAGCGAGAGATGGTTTTCAAGGTGTTTTTGTTGGAGAACCGTTTAAACATGCCAGAGGGTGAAAACCAAACATAAAAGGTTGAAAACCACTTGGTTGGTTCGGACGCCAAAAACCAATGCCGATAACCGAGAGCCGAACGCTGGTTTCTGAAACCCGAACGCCGGATGGCTTGGTTTTTGGTTTGGGCGAGCACCAAGTGTTTTTAATGACTTAAAAAAGTTTGAAAAACATTTTTATGATTTAAGAAATGCAATGAAAGGTTTTAGCCTAAAGAGCCAATGCGTGAGGGTTGGGTCGGTCTTGATTACAATTATGACCGACTCAACAGAGCTAAGGACTTCGGTCTTCGTTCTTGGTCTCTTTTAGCTCTCGTTCTTTATCTTCGTTCTTCGCCTTGTATGCTCAATGTTTGTCTTAATCACGGCGGTTTGGCATTATCAAAACCTGTTACAAAAACGAACGCGGCTTTAGTACGAAAATGTAACAAGCCCGTGTTTCAACATCCCAATGACATGTTGATGAGTAGGTCTGGGAACAAGTTTCCAGACGTCATTTCTGGAAAATTGGTTGAGTTCTTCTTGCATTGCATTAATCCAATCAGAATCAGCTAGAGCTTCTTCAATATTCTTTGGTTCCACTTGTGAGATGAAACAAGCAAGCATAGCTTCTAGATTCTGTTGAGCACTCCTAGTGCAAACACCATATTTAATATCTCCAATGATCTGTTGAGGTGGATGATCCCTTAACCATCGAAGATTGTGTTGATTGGGATTGACTGGTTGATCTAGTTCAGCTTCTGGTTGAAGAACAGAAGTTGTTGGTGTTTCCGGATGGATTGGCACTGAGTCGCCATTTCCGGTTTTGTGAAGATATCCGCTAGTTGTTCTTCAGTTGAGATGTACTCAATTTTGATATCTTTCTTTTCCACATGATCTCTGATGAAGTGATGCTTGACATCAATGTGCTTAGTGCGAGAATGATGCACTGGGTTTTGAGAGATGGCTATAGCACTTTGATTGTCACAGAAGATTGTCACTTCCTTTTTCTTGACTCCATAATCTAGTAGTTGTTGTTTTAGCCACAAAATCTGAGCACAACAACTACCAGCAGCAATGTACTCTGCTTCTGCTGTTGATGTAGAAATGGAGTTTTGTTTCTTACTAAACCAAGAAACCAGATTTCCACCAATGAATTGACAAGTACCAGATGTACTTTTCCGGTCAACTTTGCATCCGGCAAAGTCAGAATCTGAGTATCCCACTAACTCAGATGAATTGCTTTTAGCATACCACAAACCCATGTTCTGAGTTCCTTTGAGGTATCTAAGAATTCTTTTAGCTGCTATCAAATGACTTTCCTTTGGCTTTGACTGGAATCTGGCACAAACACCTACTGCATATGAGATATCCGGACGGCTTGCAGTAAGGTAAAGTAGAGATCCGACAATTCCTCTGTAGAGAGTGTGATCTACATCCTTTCCATCTACATCCATATCAAGCTTGGTGGATGTACTCATGGGGATAGAAACGGATGACTTCTGATCAACTTTGAATTTCT